AAAATCTTATTAAAAAATCTGCAAAATTCGAAAAAGGTAAAACTATATCAAAGCTTATAAAAATTGTGAAACTATATTAAACACTTAGTAAAAATTTTAGCAAAATTAAAGGTTTAGACATTTAGCCAAATCTAAAATGAGTTTAGACAAGCAACCTTAATAAGTTTATTCCCTAACATAATTCAATTAATAATTAAAAGATCTAAATAATAATTTAGTAATGTAGTTTTGGTAGCTTTAGCTCCTTCAAATCTGAAATTAATGCTAACATTAATATATTAGATGGCTTAAATTATTCATTTTGAAATAAATTATATATTATAGCTAGGGTTCCTCAAAATCGAATCAAATCAAATATTTAAGCAATTTGAATTTGATTTGATTTTTTCAAATTGAATTGAATTGAATTGAACTCAAATATTTGATCAAATCAATTTGAATCAATTTGAATTTGATCGAATCGAATTGAATTGAATCAAATATAAAAAAAATTTTTAATTTTTACAATGATATATTAAAATAAAGTTATTCTAAAATTTTAATTAAGAAAATGTTTAGTAATTGCACTAAAAAATTTCAAAGAAAGCTTTTACAAAGTAAGTTTAGTTACAAGTAAATTTTTACTATTAAACTTAGTAAAATAACTCTGCGGTCTCAGTTTTACTAAGAAATTTAGTAATAACCGCTATCGTGGCTTTAGTTTATTAAGAAAACTTAATAATACCCACCATCACGACTTTGGTTTACTAAGAAAACTTAGTAATAACCGCCATTGCAATTTTGGTTTACTAAGAAAACTTAGTAATAACTGTTGCCATCTTGGCTTTGTAACCATTTTATTATTAAAAAAATCATTTTTGAAGCCTGCAGTAGCGTTTTTTTACTAGGTTTCTTAGTAAAAAAACGTTTCTGAAGCTGCGGAGGCATTTTTTTACTAAGTTTCTTAATAAAAAAATGTTTCTGAAGCTGCAGAGGCATTTTTTACTAGGTTCTTAGTAAAAAAAGTTTCTGAAGCTGCAGAGGCATTTTTTTTACTAGGTTTCTTAGTAAAAAAATGTTTCTGAAGTCGCAGAAGTGTTTTTTTACTATGTTTTCTTAGTAAAAAAGGCATTTCTGAAGCCGCGGAGATGCTTTTTACAATATTTTTCTTAGTAAGAAAGCTTTTGAGATGACTTTACTATTGATTTGAGTCAAATCAAATATTTGAATACTTGATTTCAATTTGATCGAATCAAATCAAACATTGATTTGGATTTGATCAAATAAATCATTCTTTGATTTGAATTTGATCAAATCAAATATTCAAATATCAAATCGAATTGCGGAACCCTACTCATGAATATCAGGTAATCCATAAATTTCAGATGGATGATTAACTACTGTAAAACCTTTTCCTGATACTCAGACTATATATTTATCAAAAATCTCTTCAGAATGATAGGCATTTAAAAGAGAGATATCATTTTTATTATTAAACAAATATTAAAAATACACATGATCATTATAGTCAGACTCAAAATCAAGGTCCGCTAAACCAAAGAAGAGTCTAGTTACTTTATTTATTGTATTAGAGTTAGGCCCAGATTTTTTTTGTGCAAGTAACATAGTAGTATATGCAAGAAAACAGTATAAAATTATATAGAAACTTGCAAAGTTTAAAATAAAAATGTAATATGTATGACTCAAAAACGAAATAAAAAAGTATAAACTATTTACTATTCTGACCTCTAATAGAATACTAGCATGAATATGTAATAAATATATTAAATAATATTTCAAAGCAATCGATGCAAAGATATCCTGAAGTAGTAACTATACAGGAACAATATCTAAAAGCTAAAAACATGTAAAATATTGGTAACCCAGATGAGCAGAATTATATATAGGAAAGAGAGAATACATTTTGTGCATCTGGGGTTACCAACTTGGCATTTTGTGCCTCATCCTCAGCAGAATTGCATATCTGAACCACTAATTCAACACTTTATGCCTCATTCTCAGCAATCAAATAGGTTATAAAAGGCAGATTGTGTATCTAGATCACTAATTCAGCATTTTGTGCCTCATTTTCAACAATCAAAAGGGTCACAAAAGGTGAAATTGCAAGAATAGCATAATACTAACATTTCGCATGTGCCTCATCGACTATCAAAAAGTGGGTGAATAATTGCAACACATCTTCAGCAAATAGATGGATTGCAAATTTAGCACTTCATGCCTCATCTGGCAATTAAGAAATAGCAATAATTTCAAAGCAACTATGTAAAAGTGTTCTGGCATTAGAATAGTATTATGTGACTATGATGCAATAAGACGCAGTATTAATTCTATTATTTTCAGCCAACACTATTCCATAAATTTGATCAGAAGTTTGGATATAATAATTCAACACCCAAGCTAGCATAAAACTGGCGAACTAATAGAACTTCTCTGGTATTCTGCCAGTTTTATAACAGTTTTCTACTAGTTCTATGATAGTTCCATAATACTACCATAGCACTATCACAGCGCCCTTAAATCATATGCTTTAAAGATTAGCTGAAATTATGGCATAATGTTAGCCGAAATTAATCACAGATCTACTGCATTACTCAACGCAATATTTTTTTTAATATTATTAGAATACCTTAAAAAGCTAGCAAATGGGCCACACCCTTGACCTCAAATATCAACCAAAAGGATCATAAAGTAGGAAAATTAACTTCATTCTTATACAATTATTAGAAAGCTCCAAAATAGGAAAACAAACCTTCACCTTATTTAGCAACCAAACAGCTACAGAGCATTGAAAACAAAGAATACTAATTTGATAATAAAAAGGCTACAGTACACTGAAAAAGTAACTAGATAACAGTATATTTATAACTAGGTAACAGTTTACTCATAACTTGATAACATTATAACAGAATTGGATAACACTCTTATAAGAGTGTTATCTAGTTTATTGGTATATTTATTATTTCTCTTATATTTTATATATTTATTTTATATAATATATTTATTATTTTTATTTAAAATTAGTTAATTTGTATCATTAAAAATAATAACACAGTTAATTCTTTATTAATATAAAAAGTAAGACTGTAGCTATACATGAAGTTAAAATGGATTATTTCAGATATCCGAAATGGTCAAAATAGTCGAAATCATTTTTTTTTATTTTTTTTATGTTTTAATGATGCAATACTGTCAGTATATTTTATTAATTTATACAAAAATACAATAATAGTAAAATCAAAAACTAACAAGCAAATGACTAACTACCCCCGTAACTATATTGCAAGTCCGTTTGAGTCAACCGAGCATCGCCACCCCCTCCAACAAACCCACTACAAGCATGCATAATGACTATTATCTTTAACAGGGAATAGAAATTAACCATGGTCAATACTACTTCGTTATCTCCTTTCTAAAGTAAATTCCCAAAAAACAAAAACAAAAATATAACCCTTTAACTAATAGTGACATATTTTCTGAAGAAGTAACTATAAAACCTAACTATTTACGCTAAAGAATTTACAAAAAGAAGCAACATAAGGGACTCTACTAAGTTCTTAGCTAAGTTGTCCAGTCAATTATGGATTATAGTGACCACCTGGTATAAATGCGTCCATATCACTAAGTTCTAATAGAGGCTCTTCAGACTATCGCTTCCAATGCTAAAATATCTGTCAATTCAGATTACAGCTGACTCTTAGCACAGGACGGGGCCCAAATCACACAGTCGGTCAAGTCCAGAAAATACTGCAGGAGATTCTGCAGTCTTCGATGTCAGAGATCTGCAAAAAAAGAGTGTTACCGTTTATAAAGAAATAGGGATGTCATCACGTAGATTTGTGTATCCAAAATATGTTGATCGTGATCATCAGTTGGAATACTTCTTGATGTTCACTTTTGTAGGCAATTATTTTTGAAAATGAAAAAATGAGAAAAATATGCCGAAAAGAGGTGAAGAAAAAATATTTTAACAAAAAACAACACAGTTTAGACTTCAACGGCAATTTTTATGTGGATAGGGGTTGGGAAAACAAAAAGAGGAAAATTTTTGAAAAGGGATTTTTTATTTTGTTCGCAGGCTAAGCCGCGGCCGCCTTTGAACAGGCACTTTTTTAAAGTAAAAATTCTTGGATAAAATCCAATGAGAGAGAAAGAGAGTTTTTTCGTCTGGTCGAAATCATTTCGACCATTGAAGGCTAAAGTCGCAAAATAGTCAAAATGACGTCATATCACATAATTTTTTATATTGAGAAAAACAATAAACAAAAAATGTACGATCTCGGTTAATATCGCTCTAATTCGTATAAAACAACTACCATTCGATTCCTTGCGACTTGACGGATCCAATGAGCTAAGATACATTGATTTTGGATCATCCAATCGTGAGATAATCGCAATTGTATTATCGGCTGAAATTATGAATCAATAAATTCTACTTTATATAAAGGAGTCCAGATTTCAAAATACGATCGCGAATATCTCGAGATGAGCTGATCCAAAACAATGAATGTTAGTTTATTAGATTTGTCTAGTCACAGGAAATCGAATGGTACCGTAAAGCAATGATGGGTTTTGGACTTATTTTTTAATTTTAAATATTTTGGACAAGGTTTTAGACATATGAAATTGTGTCCAAAACCTATCCAAAATCTGTTCAAAATCTGTCTAAAACTATCCAAAATTGTCCAATTGCCTAACACTGTCATAAAGCACGCTCTATAGTACCTTGTGTATAATGCCTCCTTCTGAAGCGGCTTATAATGTAAAGTACCCAGGTACTATACATTGTGAATGTCAAACCTCCATGTAAAGTACCTGGGTACTATAACCTGATATTGATATACAATACCGCGCGTTAATGTTAATAAATGTATAAATTTTTTAATTTTTATTAATACAAAATATGATAAATATTTATCAAATGTAAAAAATAGTTTTTATTATTACTAATAAAGTGCAAGTTATTTTTTTTCAATCATTTACATTATCTAAATTAATGCTAATTAATTCCAAGTATTTTCATAACCAGCAACAAACTCATCATATATGGTATCTTCAAATACCACTTCATCATTTAGATTATCATTTTCATCATTTAAAAAATCATAATCGAAAATAAAATCATCTTCTGTGCCATCTTTTGCTACAGAAATACCACATCATTTGAAGGATTTTTTGATTTTTTCAACATTAATGTTATCCTAAATAACCTTAACCTATTGTGCTACTTTATTATAAGCAGGCCTTTTAATTCTTCCAGCAGGAGTAAATTCATGAATTTCTTCAGACATCCATTCATTATATAATTTGCGAATCTAATAAAACAATAAAATTATTAAATAATTAAAAAAATAATCAAAAAAAAAAAATTTACCTTGGATTTGAATATTTTATTGATTCCCACATCTAATGGTTGAAGTCTACAAGTTAACCCTCCAGGAATTACTACAATATTTGTTTGTTTTTCATCAAGTCTATTTTTAACACTATTAACCAAATGATCACGAAAAGAATCAAATATCAAA